TGTTCACGCAAGGAAATTACGAGTCAGTCATGAATTAGGTTATGTAGTCACTAGTTCAAAATCTGAGACTCTAGGTACTTGGTAAGAAAAGAGAAGTCAATGTGTACCTAGCCCAGTTTGCCATATTAGGTTTATTCTCTTGGCCAGAGACACAAGAGTGATTAGAGGGCTGGTGATTAGAGGCACGACAGCTGCATTCTTTCGTGTTAGAGGCATTGAGACAGCAGCTGCAGTTTCTCAGCCATCAGCAGCCTGTGTGGCTTGTCAGTGGACACCAGGTCCCTTCAGTTTCTTTTGAACGTATGTGAGAGATTAAGCGGGATTTAAAAGATAATTTGAACTGAGATAGAGTCATCTGCAGAACAGTTTTCTTTAATTGCTGGCCTAAAAATGCTGGGATTGAAGCCCCCAGCTCAATAAAAACAGGGGTGATGGCAAGGATATTAGAAAATGTAATGGTGAAAGAAATATCTCAGGGCCTATGGGATGACACCTAAGCAAAATTAGGCATTGAAAAGTTGGGGCAAAACAAGTAGATTGCCATTAGAAAAGGATAAAACTCATTAATAAATCTTTTATTTAAATTAATTGTAACTCCAGTAAAGGTATTGCAGAGGCATTGATTCAAGTCCTCCAGCGAGGAGTAAGCTATGATACAGAGACAGTTTTCTTTGCTGAGTAAAACTCATCAACATGTACTCAAATGAAAACAACCTTTCATTTAAGAGCTGCTAGTGTGTTTTTCTTTAAATGTACACAGAATTGAGAAGTAACTATAAGTTACCATGAATGCAGTTAAATTTTTATCTCTTTCAGGTAAACATTTCTACTTCAAAACACTGTGGATCACAGCCATTTGATCCACAACCCACCATGGTGGTGTTGCTGGACTGGGCAGTGTTTCTGTTTACTGGGCAGTGTATTTGGGTCAGGGAGACTCCACTGCAGCTAACAACAATTAACAAAGAAAATTCAGTCCTTGACCACCAACTAGGCAGTAAATGAAATATCTTACAGCAAGGCCAGCTCCTGGAAGCCCTGCTGCTGAATAATGAAATGTGCGAACAGGCACAGAAAGAATCTCTCAGTGGTTTCAGATTCTGGCTGGAAAAGCAGAAATCGCTTTCTAGTAGGGCACTTTTCACACGTACATTCAATTCAGGCTTCTTAACAATGTGTTTGACAACTCCTGCAGTACTCTAGAATAAGGTAGATGGTCTAGGTTGGTTACTAGCAGTTAATTAGTTTCATATTCTAAAAATGTAACCTGCATAATTTAGCATGGCACAAGACTCTTATCTTTGAACAACAACATCTAACACTTGGTTAGAAATTGGATTCCCTTTACATGATTAAAATCAAGTGGATTTAAGGTAGCTGGCAGGCCACAGATCCACTTAGAATGTGATTCACTTACTGATGTTGGGAAGAGTTACATTGAGTTTCTTGCACAAATACATTTACTTTCTTAAAATTATAAGAGAGGTGGTGAAGAAAGCTACACCATGAGGAGAAGGTTAAGACAAATAGTGGACTTTTGCTGGAAGTGCTCTCAACTTACTCTTATGCAAAGGTATGAGCAGTAGGGATAAGCAATACAGTATTAAAATAATAAAAAAGTGTAAGTAGGGATAAGTAATACATGTTTTGAGCTCCAATACAAATGCAGCTTTCCTTCCATCACAGGAAAATACTAGGAGCTAAAATCCTAAATTGGGGCTGCTAATCTCACAGTCAGCAGTTCGAAACTACCAGCTGTCCCGTGGGAGAAAGGTGAGGCTTTCTGCTCCCGTAAAGATTTACAGTCTCAGAAATCCTATACAGGGTCGCTATGAGTCGGAACTGACTCCAAGGCACATAACCACCAACAAAATCCTGAATTAGTAAAGTGGAGGTGCTAACAGCTGGTCCTGATTACAGTGAGCACTCAGGATATTACTGTTCTTATTGCTAAAGTTGCTTGAAGCAAGACTGCTCTTTCTGTCTGATATCTCCATTCATTATGGTTCACACCTTCCTGCTAGCTGCTTCAGAGCACTGACGTTAAGATCAGGGTTTCTCAACCTTGAAACTATGGATATATTGGGTCAGCAAAGTATTTTTTGTGGGGACTTCCCTGTGCATTATAGGATGTGTAACAGCATCCCTAGCTTCTGCCTACTAGATGCCAGTAGCATACCCCTCAACTGTGATTCTAATCGTCTCTAAAAACCCACCACCATTAAGTTGATTCCAACTCATAGTGACCCTGTGGGACCTCTAGTGTGGACCTCAAGGTTGGTTTGAATCAAAAGGTTCAAACTCACCAGCCATTCCTTAGGAGAGAGGGAATTTATTTCTGCCAAAATTTATAACATCATTTGTGGGCCATACAAAATTATCAGCTTAAAAATTAGCCTACTATATTTGGCCAAACATTTCATTAATGTGATGGCTGGAGTCCTGCTGTGGCACCATATGATAAACACTTGGCCTCAAGGTCTGTTTGAACCAAAAGGTTGGTGATTCAGATTTATCCGCCGCTCCTCAGAAACCCTATACAGGGTCACTCACTATGAGTTGGAACCAGCTCAACAGCACTTAACAACAAATGTGATGAGCAAGAATTGCGGTTGCTTTGGCTGGGCCACACCAAATGATTTTGTAGGCTTTATACAGTGCTATAGGATAAGCTCTGGTAGCGTAGTGATTACGAATCGGGCTGTGAACCTTAAGGTCAGTGGTTCGAAACTACCAGCCACTCCATGGGAGAAAGATGAGGTTTTCTACTCCCGTAAAGATTTACACCCTTGGAAACCCTGTACAGGGTCGCTATGAGTTGGAACCGACTCGACAGCACTTAACAACAACAACATAGGATAAGCACTTGACCACAAGGTCAATTTGAACTGCAAGGTTGGCAGTTCAAACGCACTCACCGCTCCTTGGAAACTCTATACAAGGTGGCTATGAGTTGGAACTGACTCTACAGCGGCACTTAACAACAACATCATATGGCCTGTGGGCTGGACATTCTCCAGCCTTGCTATGAGTCAGGCCGAATAAATGGTACTTAACAACTACAACTATTTATAGAAGCTGACTGCTACATCTTTCTTGCTTGGAGTGACAGATGTGTTCAAATCACCAACCTTCTGGTTAGCAACTGAGCACTGTGTCAAATACCCAGTAGATGAGAACTAGTGGTAGTAAAACAGAGTGTGATCTAGCCCAATAGTGAAACACACTTGATACTTTCAACTACCTTGTTTTTCTCAATGATATTTTAAACAGCTGAAAATCCAAATCCTCATATAACAGAATTAAGTTTCTAAGAACATCAGCAAAGAAAAACACAATCTCGGTTTTATGTAAAAGTGAACATTTTTAACTGGCCAAACTTCATCTCTCATACTTCGGACATACTGTCAGGAGGAACCAGTTACTGGAGAAGGATATCATGTTTGGTAAGGTGGAAGGTCACAGAATAAGAGGAAGACCCCCAGTGAGATGGATTGGCAAAATGGCCGTATCATGGGGTCAAGCGTGGCAACAACTGTGAGGCTGACCCAGGACCGGGCAGTGTTTCGTTCTGTTGTGCACAGGTTTGCTATGAGTCAGTAATGACTCAATGGCACCTGACAACAGCAACAACATTTTATATTAAAAAGTTTTAACTTTGATTTAACTTTGTAACTAGTTAATGGGAACAAATATCTAGAGTGGAGCCTCAGCTGATGACAGCTGTGCCTGCAGCAAATTCCCAAAGACCTGTTCACTGTAAATCTCAGAGGTGATGTTGGAGGGAAGTGGGGACAGCAGCCCCTGGTGCAGAGTATCTGCAGCAGAGTTCAGACCTTTGCTCACTCCCAGGTCCCCCTTCCAGGGCCACTGTCAAGATGTTAAGATCTGATGGTGAGTCACTCCTGGGAGGGCTTCACAGTGCATGTCTGCTTTCTGCCTACAGTGGGTCTTTTCTTTATTCAAAGGCTCCGTCAGCATTAATGGAAACATGAACTACTTTTACATATTAATTGTCCTGTTGATTTTTGTTTGTTAAGACAAAAAATGGCTTCTTATCTATTATTTCAGAGACTAGCCTAAAGCGGAAGCATACCTATTGATTCACTTGATCAAAACTCTCCAAAGGATGTTAAGATCTTAAATCAGTCAGTCAGAATCTTCTATATTGAACCTTTCTATATATATACACACACAGTTATGGATACACTAATGCATTATGGAAAATGGATGCTGACTTTGTTGGTTTTCTACTCTTCCACCTTGCAGGTGCCACTCTATCTGATGTGCAGTTTTACCACAAATAAGAGACAAGGATTATTCACATGACTTTCTATCTTCATTTCAACCCTTCCTGAGGAGACAAAAGTCAAACTGTCAGATTTATTTCTAGGTTTCCAGGGAGACAATGGCATCTTTTAGTGTTACTGGAGCATATTATAATATAATTTCATCTTGTGGGCTTGGTCCTGTTAGTAATAGCTGTGGAAGTACTCCTGCTTAAATTTACTCAGGTTTTAAAAACAGTGGTTATGATTTTGATTTGTCTAACAGTGTTTGGATTCTTGAGTAATCACGGTACATTTCTCATACTCTAAATTAGACTCAGGGAAAGGCAAAATGTCCTAGCCTAGTTTAGGTAAATCTTAAGTATCTATAGAAAAAATATACACAAAAACACCAGCATTATTTCTAAAATAGAACAATCAACTTTTGAGTAATCACAGTATATTTATCATATTCTAAATTAGACACAGGGAAAGGCCACTTCTAAAGGCAAAATGTCCTAGACCAGTTTAGGTAAATCTTTAGCATCTATAGAAAAATTACACACAAAAACAAAAACATTATTTTCATAATAGAACACATGTTAAAATGTTTGCTGCATCTCATTATATTGCTACTTTCCAGGCACAAGGCACCATACTAATTATGTTCATTAAAAGAAAAGCCCTTAAGTGACTAATAGCTTATTAGAGATAAAGGTAACAGATACATACCATCAAAACTACCTTTCTCAGAAGCCATATGCAATAGCTGATTGTATGTTTCAACTGAAGGTTGATAAACAAAGACTCCAGAATTGAAGCAGTCAGGCCACCCTGGGTCTGGTGCTGCTGAAAATTCTTCTCTCTCAAAAAGATCATCAATATTTGCTAGGACCTGAATCAAAGTGGGGAAAGGTGTTAGAGAAATGTTCTGTTGCAGCACAACCATTTTAAGTCTTCCTAATTTATCCAATACAAAGGATGAAGTCTGTTGCTGGTCTTAACTATTCAGATGACAGCTGTAAGGCAGTCTGAGTCTGGTCTCCTCTATCATCTGACTCTTTTTACAACAGAGGGTTTATCTGAACTGCTCAGTCAAGTGTTAACAGCACTCACAAATGCCTAACAGGTCTCCTCTACCATATATGTCTTTTCAGCCCTCAAAGTAACACTCACCAAAGTATCTGCATCCATGAACACACATTTTGAATACTGTGTAAGCGACCAGCAGTGCAGTTTCGTTAACGTGACACCCAACTCAGGCCTCTTCATTAAAGTTAGATGAGCAGAATCACCACTGTCCAGGACGTCTACCGTGATGACCTCATCAAAGACTATCTCTAAAACTTTTCTGTCAAAATAAAATCCAGAAAGCAGTGCTTAGCATCTTTTCAGAAAAGTGACCAATCTAACGTTAAGACAGGTATCTTCAAACTTTGTCCATATATAAATTACTACAACAAGTTACTTTTGCAGAATATATTCCCTAATTTATTTCAGGAAGAAGTCTGTTTTTTTTTTTTTTACATATGCAGCTTACTTCACCCAAGTAATGAAAACTGCTTATGGCGAGAATGAAGTTTTCACCTTAAAACATTTTTTATAGACGTTTGCTATTTTCTATTATGCTATTGACTACCAGGGAAAGCACGGAGAAACCTGGTTGACGTTTGCTACATCTTGGTAACAGCCTTTATTTATAAATGGTATTTTAGTAAAACTAATCATTGCTAACTAGTCCATATTTTTAGAAATGATGGTGGCTACTGCACATATAGTATCTGCAAGAAAGTTAGGAGGCAGACTTTAAGGTATATTCCTAATCACTCTGCTAAAGCCAACTGACAAAAAATAATAATGCCTAAACAGTATTTCACAAAAGAGGTTAAAGGGCTTGGTTATTCGTTGTCATTTAAAAAAAAAAATCTAATATAATTAGGATTTATTGCATGGTGGTTAGTTAGCACTTTGCTTTGGCATAATGAGAGAGACTTATTTTTTGGTCAGTGAGGTACCGAAATTTAACTACAGTTTTATTTTCAAAAGTTTCTGAAATGGGTAAGCTTAGCATGAGAAAAAAATATGTAGTAGACAAATCATCACTGAAAGTTTAAAACACTATCAGACATGCAGAACAAAGCTAGTATTGTGTGTCTCCAAAGCTGTACAAAAATATGTTCTAGTTTACGCAGTAAATGGGCTTGGTCTTTTTGAGAAGAATGACCAACAGCACCATTTACACAGTAAATCATGGTGGAAAAACCTAAGACCAGATCTGGCTGCTTACACACATCTTCACGAATAGACTACAAATTAGGAGGTAAATATTATGAGGCAGACTTTTATGCATCTTCCTAAATTACCCTTTAGGAACAAGGTTGTTAGTATGAAAGACAGATGCATGTTTTAAAACAATACTCCTTTTCAGGTGCCCTTGGCATGTGCTTACATTTTTTTTTTTAAACATCACAAAAAGGGTATTTTTACAAAAAGACGGCTAGAGAACTCAGAAATAAACACACTACAGATCTGTTAGTGTGTCAAGATATGTTTAAATTTAGTATTAGAGACTGTACCTAATATAGTTCATTCATTCAGACCCTTCAAAATTTAATCCCAACAAATGAAAGGGAAGTAAGCCCATTAACAAGTAGCATGTGTACCTAGTTGGGATGTGTCATACTAGAACAACCACTGGATTCCAATTTACTGTGTCCTAAATGAAGTCCCAAAGACCATTAGGTTACAAATGTCATTGAGCCGTGGGGCACACTGCTACTTTTCTCTTAAAGTCACCTGGAGCATTTTCCCTGGTGGGAAAGAGGAATCAAAGTAGACACTACTACATTTTGGAATGCTTTTATATTTGAGGACTTCAAGTGAAGTGTGATGACATAAAGATGGGGAGCACCTCCATAACCAGGAAACACCTGGACTGAAACACTCGCTAGGTCGCCCAGAGAGAACTTGCTTAGGGGAGTCCTTTTGTTTCCGCTCCTAATTGAAATCTCAATGTGCTCCAGAACATCACTTGACTCTCAGAAGGGCACTACAAACCTCGGCTGGAATGTCCTCCCAAATGCTAGCAAGAGGTTTCAGACCTCATGATTCTTCATTCAGCAACTCTCATCTTTCTCCACTTAGTGTCAATCCCTGAAAAGCATATGGCCTCAATGTAGGCTGATGCCAGGAACAGAAGACAGGGAAGTTGAGAACTACAAATGGACAGGCAGTGAGGTCCTCACCTCATGGATTCCGAGACCTGTGGGGTGGTGAGCACAGCCAGCCTCCTGGTGGTCCTGTGCTGTTTCAGAGACGAGCCCAGGACGAGGGCTCCTTTGGCGTACGTATCGTTTGTGGTCAGTGTCACAAAGGCCTGATCTTAATACAAAGAAAGAAGCACATTCATTATAATACCCTACCACCTAAAAAGGTATCCCAGGGTGGAGTATGTAAGGGGTTAAAGTGCTTGACTTCTAACCAAAAGGTTGGAGGTTCAAGTCTACCCAGAGGTAACTTGGAAGAAAGATCTGGCAATCTACTTCTGAAAAATCAGTTCTTGAAAACCCTACAGAATATCACAGCTCTTCTCTATCAAACATGGGATCACCAGAAGTTAGAATATACTTGATGACAACTGTTATCACCAGGTCAAACTGACCCAGGACCCTGTTCAAAAATTGTTAGGTGTCACTAAGTTGATTTGACTCATAGTAGTAACCCCATATGATAGAGTAGAACTGCCCCATAGGGTTTTCCAGGCTGTAATACTTACAGACTGCCAGACCTTTAACCTGTAGAGCGGCTGTGTGGGTTCAAACCACCAACGTTAATGTCAGCAGCCAAGTGTTTAACTAGTACATCACCAAAGCTCCTTTTTGAAAAAGTCATAAAAATCAGTTCCACTGATAAGAATTTGTTCTAATGAAGGAGCAGTCCCCTTTTAGGGGAAAAACCTAAGTATCCACTTCAGGAGGAGTTCAGAAGCATTCTTTAGCAAGAATGTCTTTGACAACCTTCAAGAGACTGATTGAGCTATACAAATTAAAGTCAATTTAGAGTTTGGACATGTTAAATTCTCAGAGTAAAAAGTAGCTTAACACCTACAGGGTGAACCGCAGGCAATTAACAGGTGGTAATGAAGGAGTCCTGGTGTGGCACCACGGGCTAATGCCTTGGACTGCAAGGTCATTTAAACTGCAAGGTCAGCAGTCATACAGGGTGGCTATGAATTGGCCATTTAACAACAACAATGAAGAGATCAAGAAGTGCCTTTTTTAGTTTCTTCTATAAAGTGTCGTGGAGAGCATCTTTATACAATTGGAAATCTAACTGTGGACCTGAATTCAGACAGTCTGACAGTAGAGGCCATATTCTTCATTCTGGTGCTTATATTAATAGCAACCTGAAGGCTTTTATACTCACTGTTTCGTCTACCTAGAGCAAAAACTCTCCCTGTCCTACCGTTCCTTAAGAACCATTGTGAATCCCTGCTCAAAATCACCTTGTCAGAGAGGTCTTCCCTCTTTGATGCTTCTGAACAGTGACCAATTGCTATTAAATAGATTGTTGTCGCTATTATGTGCTGTCAGTTCCGGCTCATAGCGACCCTGCATAGGGTTTCCGAGGCTGTAAATCTTTGTTGTTGTTAAGTGCTGTCAAGTCAATTCCGACCCATAGCGACCCTGTACAGGGTTTCCGAGGCTATATATCTTTACGGGGAGCAGAAAGCCTCATCTTTCTCCCATGAAACAGCTGGTAGTTTCGAACTGCTGACCATGAGATTAGCAGACGGATCTGTAACCACTACGCTACCAGAGCTCCTTATTAAATAGATTAAGGGACAACAAATTCAAACAAACCTGATTCCTCTTCCTCAGGGAAGTATTACCCCTATCTTCCTTCCTGAGACTCCTCTCTTCAACACTCACACACACAAAATTCAATCTCAGTAATCACTTCATTGCCAGACAGAAGGCAGGTGCATGGATAAGTCTTTCTACTGAGTAAGCCCAGCCTTCCAGATTTTTCCTGCCCTTCCAGGAGATGATTCTGGGGCACACCCTGTGTCTATGGAGATAGTGACGGTAACTAATTGCTGGGCATCCAAATGTGCATGACACTTAGGATCAAACTTTGGCAGGAGTCACTTGGGACACTGTTACCCAACCAGGGAGTTGGGACATTTTGTGATGAAGTCACTTTCTTTCTGTCTTGGGTTTCTGCATTTTCCCTTTGCCCATTTCCCAATCAAGAGGAAAGAAGTACTGAAATTTTCATGGAGAAAAGCAAGAGGAAATTGTAGTTTGTGGATTGTACTTGTTATCTCATTTCACATCAACAACAACTAATTATCTGCTTGCTGACCTGAGAGGCAGCTTCACACAGAATACGGGCCTTTCTTTCGGGGCAGACTGACTACTAAACTGTAGAAAGAACAGCATTCCTCACCCCTGGAGGGCTATTGGCTTCCTTGAGTGTCACCCTTTTGGAAAACTCAAGCCAGGGACACCTGTCACTTGACCCATCAGACCCTGCCTGCACTTGCTTCTAATTAGCAAGTTCCTTCAACCAATTGTAAAATGGTAACATTTGAAAGTAGACCCCAACGATACTTAACAACCTGGGGTATTATAAATGTTTTAACTCAAAAGTGGTGCAGATTTTAGAGAATTGTGGAGAAAAGTTTAACATGTTATGGTTCAAGTATTCCAAGAGAAGCAGAGGGGTGGATTTTTTTTGCTCTGAAAAGAAGCAGGAAACATAGTAAGGCTAGCAAACATTACATACAGATCAACAGGAAAGACAAGCGGACAGTTAAAAGTCCTAGAGACGCTGACCTCTGGGCTACCTCAGCAGCTTTATTGGTAGTTCAATCGCTGTAATAATCCAGAGAGCGGGCTCAACAATACAGAAAGGACCAGTTACCTCGGAGCCTCCTGGTCCTCAGGCAGATCCGCCATGACCTCCGGACACCTCGAAACAAGTGTGGTCCAGCCAGCACCCTAATGGACGCTTCCCAGCTCCCCACAACCCGGCGCCCACCAAGTTAAACCCACAAAAGTGGAGTCGATTCCGACTCATAGTGACCCCACAGAGCAGAGTAAAACGTTCCCAGAGTGTTTCCAAGGCTGTAAATCTTCACGAAGCAGAGTGCTACATCTTTCTCCGTGCATCTGCATCGGCGGGTGAGTTGAACCGCCCACCTAGTGGTTAGACGCAAAGCGCATTAACCACTGCAACACCAGGGCTCCTCATTCTGATCGCAAAGGCCTAAAAATAGGCGCGGCGGCGACCAGGGCCCGGCCTGGCCAGGCCAAGCCGGGCGCCTATGCACCCCCCTCGCTTGCGGCCGCCCTTTCCGCGGCTCCCGCCCGCAGGCGGCGGGGGCGGCTCCCCGATCCCTATGCGTTCAGGAACCCCAGACTGGCGTCCCCGGGAAGTCGGCTCCCCACCCCCACTCCACCGTCGCAGCTGCTCCGCCCGCCGCCCGCCCTTCACGCCGCGGAGTAAGAGGAAGGACAAGGAGACGGAAGCAGAGCGGGGCTCCGCAAAGGGCCGAGGCGCTGCGGGGCTGTCCCCCATTACTGCGCGCCCCAGGGGTTCGTGGCGGGCGCTCCGGTCCCGGGACGGGGGACGGCTGCTGACGCAGGAAGCAGCGCGCTCCGCTGCGGGCAGCCTGCAACTTTGCCGCGGTCTTTCGCGGGGTTCGGAACTCCCCGGGGGCGCAGGGCTGCGGGGACTGAGCGATCAGGGGTCCTGGGGCGTAGCTGCAGCGGTGTAGAGCCCTTGAGCGGTTCGGAGCGTACCTGTCATGTTGCTGCCGGGGCTTGGGCGTCCGCCGCAGCCGCAGGTTGGTGACTCCGAGCTGCCGGGCACCGGGAGGGAGGGCGGCCGGCGAGTAGGCGCGGCGGGAGCCGAGCGTCAACCCGGGGCGCTCTTATAGCGGCCGTCACGTGGCCGCGCACGCTCCGGAGGCCGGCGGCATCCTCCCAGCTGAGCGGCTGGCTGGGGGCGACTGCCGGGGGAGGGTGAAGGAGGGGGTGGCTGGATATGGTACCCCCAGTTCATCCTTCTCCCCAGCTTCCCTGGGCCTGCCTTTTCAGCGTGACTTTCGACCCTAGTAGGACACCGCCCCAAGATCATGCATGCGCCTTGCCCAGACACCTGTACCCTCCAGGTCAGGAGCTGGAGAGGGACTTTGGGGCAGAGTGTGTGGCATCAGCAGGATTAACTTACAAACAAGCCAAAGAAACCAGATTACTCTGGTCATAACAATGTACGGGAGTCTGAGAGCTACTAGAATTAATGCAATATGGTGATTTAATTCCACTTTTCTCACCTAGAATTACAAATCAGCCTTTGTGTGCTCTTTAGTGTACTCACAATGGTTTTATGGCCTTGGCATAAAAATAGTCAACCATCAGTATTATTTATATTCTTGGAGTCATCTGTATCAATTAGATATTTAAATGCTTCATGTACTTCATTTATACCGACTCCCTGAAGTAGTATCTCATTTTACAGATGGGTATACTGAGGAGTCCTGGTGTGGGTGCTGTGGGTTAATGCACTAGACTGCAAAGCCGTTTGAACTGCAAGGTCGGCGGTTCAAGCTCACCGGACACTCCTCAGAAACCCTATACAGGATCACTGTGGGTCGGAATCAACTCGATGGCACTTAACAACAACAACATACTGAGGAGTCCTAGTGTGGCGCTGTGGGCTAATGAGCTTGTCTGCAAAGTAGGTTTGAACTGCAAGGTGGGGGATTCAGCTCACTAACTGCTCCTTGGAAACCCTATACAGAGTCTATGAGGCAGAACCCACTCAACAACAACACTGAGTTGCATAGGAGAGAAATTACCTGACTGTGGCCTTACAATGTAAGTTATTGTTAAGTGCCATCAAGTCAGTTCCAACCAGGAGTTTCCAAAACTGCAAATTTTTCCAAGAGAAGAAAGTTGTATCTTTCTCCTGCAGAAGGGCTAGTGGACTAGAACCTGTCACAGTCCAGTGCTTATCTTACAGAGCCACCACACTCCCACAATGTAAGTGGAGAAGGTAGAATTTGATCCCTGGCAGTTTGACTGCAACACCAGTTCTTTCACTGACAATGCCATGACATCTCTGGAACATAGAGAGCTACAAAGGTTGGTAAATTACAGTATCTGTTGTTAGGTTATATAGTTGTTTAGGTTAATCTGTTTAACAAATCTCAAAAACATCAATTTGTCAATTTTCTAGGATGTTGAGCAATATCTCTCTAATGTGATCACATACTTCACTGTTCCCATTCCTTCCACCTAGCTTGCACCCAGCAAAAAACAATAGGTAGTATAGGTTTCTGCAGACAACACACTTCTTGCAGGGAAGTCAGTTCCAACTTCTAGCCGTCTCAAGTGTGTCAGAGTAGAATTATGCAGCATAAGGTTTTCAGTGGCTTGAATGTTTGCAATTAGATCTCCAGGCCTTTCAGTCAGCAGCCAAGCACCATTTGTAGCACCAGGGAATCCCAGAAAATAATAGTGGCTCAGTAAATGCTGAATGGTGGTGGTGGTTGTATGTCATGGACCCTGTAAAGGGTTTCTGAGTTTGTCTTTACAGGGACAGAAAGTCTCATGTTTCTCCTAAGGAGCAGCTGGTAGATTCAAACTGCTGGCCTTGTGGTTAGCAGCCCAGCTCATAATCCACTATGCTACTAGGCTTCCTAAATTCTGAATAAGGAACCCTAATGATGCAGCGGTTAAGTGGTAGACTGCTAAACCAAAAGGTTGGAGTTTTGAACCCACCAACTCACCAGATGCTCCTTGAGACTGCTGTAAAGATTCAACCCAAACCAAACTCATTGCCATCGAGTGGGTTCCGACTCAAGAACGATCGTATGTAGGGTTTCTGAGACTGTCAGTTTTTATAACGCAGACAGTGTCATCTTTATCTCTCAGAGTGGCTGGTGGGTTTGAACCGCTGATCTTGAGTTTAGCAGCCCAGTGTCTACCCACAGCACTACCAGGGCTCCTTGCTATTAAAATTACCACCTTAGAAATCCTGTGGGGGTACTTCTAGTGTGTTCTATAGTTAGAATAGACTTGACAACAACTTTTTAAATTGTTAATATTGTTAACGTTGAATGAAGATTACAAATCTAGTTGGAAGCTAATCAGGAAGTTGATATGAGTTCATAAAGGGGAAAAGGCGCTTAAGAATAGGTGAATAGGTACCATTCTCTTCAAGCCAATTATTTTACTGTTTCCTCAAGTGTGGTCCTGGACCTCCTACATTAGAACTGCTTGGGGCACTGGTTAAAATTCAGAGTTCTGGGTCTGAGCCCAGACCTACTGAATCAGAACCCCAAATCAGCACTTTAAATAGTAGCCTCTAGAAGCCACTCTTAATTCCCTACCCCTTCCCTTTCCACTGCCAGGAGGCTAGTAATTAACATGGAGGACCTCCCTGGTTTCTTGGCACTATAAACTTCCTCTACAGGAAGTAAATGTATGGGGGTGATGGTTCAATGAATGGGTTTCCACTTATTCAAACCCTATAGACATAGAAGAATTGGAGCTCTGGTAGAACACAAAGTGTATGGTACTTTATTTGTAACTACGGGCAGTTCAAATCCAGCTGCTCTTGGGAAACCATATACAGGGTTGCTATGAGTTGGAACTGACTCAAAGGCACTTGACAACTACAAGAACAACAAGCAGAGGAGCTAAGCAGGGAGAGGTGCTTCCAGGTCAGAACTGCTCCTATCAGGATAGAAGAGTGAGATTTCCATCTTTCGCTTAGGAATTTTCCTGCAGTCCCATCCACTGTCATTGAGTCTGATTTCTAAGAGTAGAAAGCCTCATCTAACTCCTGATGATCAACGGGTGGGTTTGAATCACCACCAGTGCCACTGAAACACCTGATGCTTGAAACCCAAGTGCCCCCTACTCTGGGCTTACCTAGGGCTGTGGTGTTGGGGCTGGAAGGACAAAGTCATGAGGGAAAACTGGGAATAATTGAAACAGACCTTTTCATAGGGACATGCTTCCAGGGCAGATTATACTCAATGATCAGGGTAAGCAGGACCTTACTTCTCCTTACTTACTAATCTGTAGTAAAGTTTTACATGTGAGTTTCAGATAGGGTGAAATTCATGCGAAATTGTTCACCACTGATTAGTATGTAAACACAAGTAACCTTGTGCTTACCTTGCTTACTCTGTACTCCTTTCCGGTTGTATGCCACTGAGTCATTTTTGACTCAGAATGAATGACTCCTGTGGTTTCCATGGCTGTAAATCTTCATGGGAGCAGAAAGTCTTGTTCTTCTCCCTTTGGAGCATCTGATTGGTTTGAATTTTTGACCTTGTGGTGAGCAGTCGAATGCATAACCCACTATGTTTCTTTCCTTGTTAAGCATTGTAAATTTGAAAAGAGGGTTTGATGCTGTAGGAAGATGCAGTGGGGTTGGGAGAGAGACACATGCCAGTCATACGTGAATCAGAATCTGAAGTGGTGAAAAAACATGAAATTGTTCACTACAGATATGTAAGCACAAGTTGTTGTTGTTGAGTGCTGTCAAGTCAGTTCCGACTCATAGCAACCCTGTATAGGGTTTCCAAGGAGCAGCTGCTGAGTAAGCTCGTGCTTACCGTGGTTATAGGGTAATCCAACACTGAATGCTCCTCTTTGCTCTACTCCTCAGTATTTAAATAAAAGGGGTCACCATAACCTTTTTTTCTTGTGTTTCATGCATTTGTATAAACTGAAAGTTTACAGTTGGTATCACCTTGAACCAAATAGGATAAGAATTAGACTGCTAAACACAGTGGTTCAAACTAATCAGCCACGCCTTCATCATTGTCATCATGTGCCATGGAGTCGGTTCCAACTCATAGTGACCCTGCACAGGGTTTCCAATGCTGTAAATCTTTATGGGAGCAGAAAGTCTCATCTTTCTCCCAGGGAACAACTGGTAGTTTCGAACTGCTGACCTTGAGGTTCACAGCCCGATTCGTAACCACTACACTACCAGAGTTCCTTAGTCACTCCTTAGAAACCCTATACTGACTCAATGGCACTTAACAACACCAAACAATCTGCTCTTACATGTTGCTTTAATCAAGATTACTAATAATAAACAACTGCCCACTTTTTCTGAACTGCTCAATATTCAGTTTCTGTTGTATGTGAGAACAGAACTTCTCAAACTTCTTTGAGCATTAATTGCCTGGAATCTTGTAACAATGTAGATTCTGACTCAGTAGTTTGGGGTGTTCTTTCAGGTACTGCTGAGGCTGCTGATTTCGGGACCAACCTTGAATAGCAAGATGTTAGTGGTTACGAGTCAGGCTTCAAAACTGTCAGCCATTCTGTGGGAGAAAGAGGAGGCTTTCTGCTCCCATAAGGATTTACAGTCTTGGAAACCCTATGCAGAGTCGCTATGAGTCAGAACTGATTCCACAATACATCACCACCAGAACATTGTTAGAACGCTTTGGCTATAGAGGATAGGTATGTTAAAGTGGGGGAAATGTATGAGACTTCAGCTTCTTAATTCTTTATGGAAATTAAAGTAGCAGAGTATCTGAATCCCACAAAAAGATTTAAGTTAGAAAGACAAAGGTTTACTCTGCATGAATATACATAACGAATGTATGCCAGTTAATATTAAATGTTGTTGTTAAGTGCCATGGAGTTGGTTCAGAATCATAGTGACCCTGTTTAGGGTTTCTGAGAAGCAGCTAGTGACCTTGAGCTGTGAACCTTGCAGTTTAAACTGACCTTGCAGTCCAGTGCATTAACCTGCAGTGCCACACCTGGACTCCTTAATGTTAAATTTTAGCCATTTAAACCTATGCTAAATGATGTGTGTACTCGGCATGGATGGTC